ATATATATATATATATATATATATATATATATATATATATATATATATATATATATATATATATATATATATATATATATATAAAGTTTTGATAAAATATTTATTGATCATTAATAAAAGTCTATATAAAGCAACAAAAAAAAGGAATTTCTAATAAAAATTATATAAATTTTTTTTATAATTAAACTTTAAATAAATTAAACAAAATATTTTTTTTTTTCTCATCTTTAATTTTCTTTGCCTAATATAAAAACTTTTATTAATGATCAGTAAATTTTTTCTCAAAACTTTTTAAACGTGACAACGCCGGTTTTTCCACTGAGGTCTTCATATATATATATATATAACAATTTTATATACATAACAAATCTCTTACCAATTATTGAAGTAAGGTTTGCTAAAGATAAAGAAAATAAAGTAAAGTTGTTGGAAAAATACACTTGTTTCACATTACAATATCTTTATAATGTTGTATTAATATTTTATACACTTGAAAAAATTGAAATCAACAAAACTTACTCATCTGTTTGCCATATTCACCTAAATGCCAATGTTAAATTAAAACATTTATTAGAAGTTTATAATTGTTATTATGTATCAATACGTTATATGTTGAAAAATATAGAAATCAACAAAACTTACACATCTGCTTGCCGTACTCACCTAAATGCCAATTTTAGATAAAAACATTTATTCAACAATGAATACTAACACAGCATACAAATACTTTAAATGATATAGTAACTAAAACAATTCAAACTTAACTTACTGATTGTTTGTTCTAAATTGTCTACAGAAAAAAAAAGAGTGACTTAATAAAATGTAAGTATTAAGTATACAAATATACAACTAACAAGAAATAATATTGTTAGACAATCTACATAAGTATATTAAAGAACTGTATTAGAAAACTAATAGTAAATGACTAAATACTAAAATATTAGATCATATAAGTGAGATATAACTGATTGATCTTCTCTAAAGCAACTTCATCTAAACAAAAATTAAGTAAACTTTATTTTGCAAAGTAATATAAAAATATACAAAGTAATATAAAAATAGCATCTATATAATAACTACTAAACTATTGAATACAGAAAGTAACTAACTGATGTTGTTGGCTGCACTACAAATTTGGGCATCTAAAACAGCGAAAGATATATTTAAGTTATACATAAAGGTTTGAATAGTGGCCAGATAATTTAAAAACAGTTTGATAAATTTATATTGAAAAACTTATTCATAAAGATATTCCTTATTAAATAAAGACAACGTTCAAACTTCAAATTAGATATGACTCATCACTAATTTGATTCACATCTAATTATTATTATTAATATGATATGAAATAGTAAGTGAAACCTTTATTTTCTTTCTCCATTTTATTTCTAAATGAAATATAAAATCCAAGTATTATTTTATTAATTACTGAAAATCGTTTTATTAAAACAATTTCTTTTAAATTTACAAATTTTTTAACTATATTTTTACTCTAAAATATCTAGGTTTACAATATCAACTTATGACATAAAGCAAATATTGCTAATATGAATACTATATATGTAAAAAAAATATAAATAAAATCAATTAATGGACCCCTCTGTCTCCCGCGCCAACATCAGATAAAATGTAAATTAGGTAACAAAAGTGTAGCAAGAAATAAGGTGACTGCTACAAAATATTTTTCAACGAAATTTGGCAGGTGCACAGATAAATGAATAAATTTAATAAAAAAATAGGATAGAAAAAAAAAGAATATATCCTGGACATTAAATTCACCACAGAAGTACAACCAAAATTTTGACATCAATAATCTCGTTAATAAATTAAGTGAGTATAATTAAAAACCAATCGAACTAATGCTTCAACTATTCTTCTTTCTAAAAATAATCTCTGTTGATAACGAATACTAAAAAGTTATTCCACAATGCCTTCCTCAAGCACGCTAACTTTTAAGAGACTACGAAAAACGTGGAACAGAATTTTAGCACAAAATTCGGTTCCGTAAAACGCGATACTCACGTACCTAATATAATAATATAATAATGATTATAATATTATTTTCAAATATTATTATTATAATAATATGTTATTATATGTTAATGTTATTATTAAAATATTAATAACAATAGTATTATCAACAGCTTAAATTAAGTAGTAGTTGCTAATAAAAACTCTTTAATTTTATTTTAACTCAAAATAAGAAAGATTATTATCACGTTGTTAATACTAAATTAAGCCTTAATTTGATAATAACAACGTGATAATAATCTTTCTTACTTTGAGTTTAAGTAAAATTAAAGAGTTTTTTATTAGCAACTACCTAAATAAGCTTTAGTATATTATAAATTATTGTGAATTAGCATACTACTTCACTATAACTCAAACTATTTCCATTTCTCCTCATAAAACAATCTTTCCAAATTCTTTATTAACCACATTTTCACGTATTATAATCTTTATATACTTTATATAATCTTTATATACGCGTACTACAGCTGTATCGTTACCACTTTTTTACATTTAAAACTTTAAATTTTTTACATTTTAACCCTTTCGTTACCGATACCCCGCATAGCGGGTAATAAAATATGTCGTTAAAATACCAGTACCCCGCATAGCGGTGGATAAAAAAGTTTTGTTTTCTGTCAATCCCGGGTTTTTTGAGCAACTTTAAAACTTAGCTTAATAGAAAATAGAATAATAATCCAATTATACAGCGAAGAAAGCTTTGTTAGATTAGCTGATATTTAATTTTGAATAAGTAATATTTTTATATTCATCAAAGTTAAACAAAATACTTGTTCCTGATGGTACTATACACAGGCCTACTGAGTGTCATTTCCCAGTAACCAAACAGCCATCACACGATGCAACAGATAGACGTCCATCTAAATTATGCAGAGTATGCTATGCACAACGAACTTTTAATAAAAATGAAAAACACAAAAAACTGTGCATATATGTCAAACTTACCCCTGTGAACCAGGGTTACATATTCATAGCTGCTTTGAAATCTATCACACAGTGCTAGATTTGCTGTAAAAATTAGTATATACCTATGTTTAGTTATTTGACATATCTTACTGTTGTTACTTTTTGATTTTATTATTTTTATTTGTTCTTTTTTGAAGAAAGCATCATAATTTAAATTTTTGACCAAAAGACTCACTAACCTAATAAAATTAATAACTTATGATAAAATGTTTATGACTTGAAACTTTACAGAATTACTTATTATATATGTCTGATTGTTGACTCAAAATTTGAAAAAATTTTGATCATAATAAGATGCATTTTTATTTTGTTGAATTTACAAATAGAATATTATTTAGTTTTCAAAATATGCTATTATTAATTACAAGACCTGATGATTTTTTTTTCTTAGTTTTTGTTTTATTTTATGAAAGATAAATTGTTATGTTAAAAAGGAGCTAATTTTTGAACCTTTTTTAAACCCATAATATAATTTTGTTGGTAGTTGGGTTAAAACATCCTTTTTTGTCACGGTATACCGTGTGAGTCTTTTGGTCAAGTTAGCAAAACGCTAAAAAAAATGTGCTCGTGAATGTTTAAACCATTTAACCTTTTTGTTACCGGGCTCGGCAACCTTATATTACCGGTCATATAAGGTTGCCGAGCCCGGTTACAAAAGGGTTAAATGGTTTAAACATTCACGAGCACATTTTTTTTAGCGTTTTGCTAATTTTAACCCCTCCCCCTCTTATTTCACAAAAGATGTTTGTGACCTAAGTGACCGCGGGTATATATTTCGGCAACCCCTCTTTTCTTTGAAAGTATGTCACATACTTTCAAAGGAAAGTATGTGACATACTTTCACTATATCGTTTCAAATTTTAAACTTTTTGAAACAATATAGTGAATAGAAAAAGATGTTATTTTACACCGTTTTTGTAAGAAAAAAATCCTTCAGAGTGTATAATTACACCAAAACGGTGTATATTTACACCTTTTGCTTGAATCGTTTTCAATAAACACCGTTTGAGGCTATGTTATCACCAAAACGGTGTAATTTTACACCTTTTTGGTGTAATTACAAAACGGTGTAATTTTACACTTTTTTGGTGTAAATAGAAAACGGTGTAATTTTACATCATTTAATTAAAACGGTGTAAAAATAGAAAAACTTTACATTATTCAAATTTTAAACCTTTTTGAAACGGTGTAGTTAATAAAAAAGGTGTTATTTTACAATGTTTTAATAAGAATACATCTTCAGAGTGTATAATTACACCAAAACGGTGTAAATTTACACCTTTTGCTAAAACTTTTTTAAAAAAACACCGTTTGAGGTTATATTTACACCAAAACGGTGTAATTTAACACTTTTTAATTTAGAGTGTAGCATACCTTTGTAATATTTTAAAAGTAAACATAAGGGGGATGTGATATTTTAAGTAAGAATTTTAGTTTTTTTTTGTGGTACAAACATAATTTACAAGTAATGGATATGATATTCAAGCAATTACTACTCATTTGAAAAAATTCATGAATTACTTAGGGGATGTAATATTTTAAAGATTTACATAGGGGGATGTGATATTTTAAGTTGGTTTTTTGCTTCTTTTCGTGATATATATATAGAGCTTACACAGGGGGGTTGTGTTACTCCAGAAAACAAATACAATTGTTTTGCAACATGGTAGTAATTATGTTGGGGAATATTTCAGAAGCCTGCATAGGGAGATTTGATATTTAAATTTAGAATTTTATCAAAATGTGCAGACATTACTCAAACAGTCATTTTTCATTTTTTTTTTAGATTTAATTGAGCTAACAAATTGAAAATGTATTATTGTTCAATCAATTCATATATATGGCTTTCGACAAGTTAAAGTATAATAATAATGCAAGAATTCACAAAAACTAGGGGGGAAAAAATTTGTGTCGAATCACCTATTTGTATTTTTATCTGTAAGGGCATAAACATTTAAATTGGTTCAATTTATGACAAAATGTTGAAGAAAAAGAAATGACTACAATTTTTAAAGTTTCATTTATTATTACATTTATATATAAATATGTTCACAACAAAATAAAGTTTCATTTCTAAAAACAATGCATCTCATACGGTACCATCGATTTGGATGCAAATATCACATTTGATCTAAAAATAAATATTTAATGTACATTTTTCTATTTGAATATATAAAGTATTTTTTTCTATTTGAAATTTTATTAAAAAATAATTAAAATATTTTTTATTACCCATTTAACTTTTTTTTGATTTTTTCTAGTTTTTGGACCAATTTCACTTCCACAAATGCGACACAGACTATTCTGCCAACTTTTGTGACCTATTGGTTTAATTTTGGATCATTTTTTTTTTGTCTTTTTTATATATATCATTTAACATTGAAGTAGTGTAAACATTTTCAGTTCTCTAAAGAGTCTCACAAACCTCCTTTTTCTCTCTTTCTGTATGCATTAACTTCTTTATGTGGAAACCCACACACACATACTTCTCCGTTTGTATAACTTTCAGGAAATTAAAATATGTAAGCTTATATATATATATATATATATATATATATATATATATATATATATATATATATATATATATATATATATTCATATATATATATATATATATATATATATATATATATATATATATATATATATATATATATATATATATACATATACATATATATATATATATATATATATATATATATATATACATATATATATATATATATATATATATGTATATATATATATATATATATATATATATATATATATATATATATATATATATATATATATATATATATATATATATATATATATATATATATATATATATATATATATATATATATATATATATATATAATATACATATATATGATGGGATGGCATCCCACCTCACTTTGACCACTGTATATATATATATATATATATATATATATATATATATATATATATATATATATATATATATATATATATATATATATATATATATGTGTGTGTGTGAGTGTGTGTGTGTGATGGGATGGCATCCCACCTCACTTTGACCAAAGTATATATATATATATATATATATATATATATATATATATATATATATATATATATATATATATATATATATATATATATATATATATATATATATATATATATATATATATATATATATATTAGACTAAAACAATTCTTTGTTTTTTCCAGCTGCCATATTAAATTTGAATGAATTTGTCTAAAAATACCATAATTTAATAATATTATATTTTATAATTTATGAAATTATAATTAACTACTCTATTCTACTCTAAAATGTTTTTCTTTTTCTCATAATTTAAGTCTAAATGTTTTATTAAATTTAACGATACAGTTTATCTATTAACTTTTTTTATTTAAAAAATACCATACTGACAATTAGTGCAGTTCAGATCATTAGTGTACACTAACCATTATTGTAGTCATATATATGAATATTGTCTGGGTTAAAAGAACTGCCTGGAATAAAGTTTAAGCTAAGATAATCTATAGCTTTAAACTTGCAAACTGGCAAAAGTGTGAATTGACATAAGTGCGCCAAACAAATTTGCAAAGTTTTCACACTTATGAGAATGTTTTAAATCTATTTAGCGTACTTATGCCGATTCGCACATATGTTAGTTTGCACTTATACCAGTTTCTGTAACTATTTCAATAACTGCTTTGCACTTATGTCAATTCGCAATTATGTCAATGTTTGAAAATTTGTTCGACGCACGTATGCCAATTTGCACTTATGCTAGTTTGCACATATGCCAATGTTGGTATTTAGCAATTTACAACTACAGAGTTACTAGATGAAACATTATCAAGTGCTGAGTCAAATTTATCAAATTCTATTAGGCTGTTCATTTCAGTTACTACTTCTTGCTGACACTATTTTATATTAGGTTTTTTGGATCCTTGGGTTTTTATCTCATTTAAGAGATGCAACACACAATATTAAAAGTCTAAACAAACTTACCATAACTAAATTTTACATAGTATTAACAAAACTATGTATATAAATAAATTTAAAATACATAAATTTAATAATTTAACAACTTTACTGGTCTAACCCTAAATCAGAGAAAAACTAATGGACAGTAAAATACTTGATTGTGGCAATGCTAATTTTTGGTATAGGCACAATAAATATTTTACTATATATTACAGTTTTTCTCAGATTTAGGGTTAGAGAAGAAAGATTGTTCCATAGATTTATAATTTTGATAATATTAAAATAATGGATTTCATGCAGGTGATTATTTAAAGTTAAAATTGGAACCTCGTTTTTTCAATGAAATCTTTTAATATTGACAGTCATGTTAACATTTTCCAACAAACATTACATTATTATTTTTAACTAAAGACTTACTTGCTTGAGATAATGGAAATCTATCATATTTATCCTTTTTAATTTAAGATGATTAAGATTGAAGTGTCTTAAAATGAATCTCTTGGTCATCACAATCAATATCATCTTTATTATTTTTTGACCTACAGAACACAAGCATAGAGAATATTTGAATTTCATCTAAAAACTTGTTTTCTCATGTAGAATTTTTTACAATTAAAAATCTTTTACAAATTACTTTACAGATTATTAATTTTATAAGTAAAATAGGGTATATAATATTGTATATAATATTATAGGTTTCATACTGCCAAATATCTGGTTATAACACCATAATATTATTAAAGATTAAAAATAAATCACTTCGCTTGATCGAAAGTCACGCCATTATTTGCGTGAACATACTCTTTTAAATATTGCCGTGACATTCAAAAAACGTTTATTTATTATGTTAAAAAAACGTTTTAAAAACGTTCATAAGCTAACTGAGAAATTTCGCAAGTTGTTAAAAAAAAAAAAAACGCTTAAAAAACGCTTAAAAAACCTTTAAATTAACATTAAAAAAAACGTTTACAAAAAAACGTTTTAAAAACGATTGTATTGGTTCTTTAAACGTCTGACCGTAAATTAAACGGAATTAAAACCTTTTAAAAACGTCCTGTGCTTACTGGGAAGTGTTCTGATATCTGCTGAGTAGCATTTTTCATTTTTGGTGTTTTGTGTTACTTGCTGAATATCTTCTAACTTTTCCTGTAAAACCAGTATGTCATTTTGAAGTACAAGAATTGCAGAATTTTTGTCAGCAAGTTGTTGGGATAACATTGTCTTTTGATTAAAAAACTTGGTTTCGGTGAATGTTAACTGTTGTTTCAAATAAAAAATTTGATTTTGAAGTTTTTTTAACTGTATATTTAAAAAATTTTCTTTTAATTTTTTTCTAAGTTGATGAATTATCTTTTCCTTACGAGCAATAACTTGATTTAGATATTTTAATCTGTATGCTCTAGCCTTTGCCTTTTCTCTTAAACCTTTAAGATCTGCTTTATGTTTTCTCTTTTTAATTGCGATTTCGTTTTCCAAAATGGTTAATCTCTTTCTCATAATCTTTTTCCTGGGACTAACCTGGTCACCTCTCAACCTGGAAAATGATTCTTGAGAAGAGTCACTATTTAATAGAGACGAAACAGTGATTTGCTGAGAAAAAAATGAAGAACACGTAGCAATGTGATTAGAGGTTGTGATTAACTGTGATGTTTGAGTCACAGCAGTTGTTGTTGGTTGGTATTCAAAGAGCATGTTGCAGATGTCAATAAATTGTTTTGAATTTCGTGAAAAAGCTTTTACAAAAACTTTTGATTTTCTAACTAGTTGCAGAATCTGATTGGGAAAAATGTTGATGTTAAAATACTTACTGATTAATTCTACAGTTACTTGGTATGAATCATTGTTAGTTGCCAATATATGCAGTACATGTCCATTTCTACAGCCCATATTTAAATGAGCTGAACTAAATAAGATTTAGCTTTACCATAAAATAAATTTGTTTTCTTTTTAGGTCCCATGATGCACTAAATTAAATTCAACGATCATAACACTACTTTAATTGTAATTTAATCATTATTAATATTTAATTACTATTTAATTGGGTCAGCAATCAATCACAATAAACTAACTAATAAATTGCCTTTAGTCAATAAAAAATTATAGATATATATAATTTTTATATATCATAAATAATGCTGGTTGGTGGTTATATGGTAAATTATGGGTACAGAAAAAAATTGAGAAAATGCTGTTTTTGTTTGTTATCATTATTTCGCATTTTATTCTGAATCACCATAAAAAAGTGTCATAATTTTTATTTCAGCATTTTAAATTAGATTTAACAAAATTTAGCCTTGAAACTAATTTTGGTGTGTGAAATCATCAATAGTGTTAGTAATATTATTACTAACAACTTTTTTTTTTTCAATAGCCATTTATTACTAATAAAAGGCTATTGAAAAAAAAATTGTATACCTTTTTAATGAAAGCTATCTATATATCTCATTATCTCATTATTATGACTAAACAATCTAATATACCAAATGCTCACCATCAAATTACGCCCCCCCCCTTCCCCGCCTAAACGGAAGTGGAAATACATACCTCCACTGTACAGAAAAATAGGGTGTCTGCGCATAAATATTTTTTAATGAAATTTGGCAGGCACATAGAAAATAGATTTATACTGCTTACTAGAAAATTTTAAAAGTGTAGCAATATGTCTTCAATATTAATGTACCTCCAGAACAGAAACGAAATTTGAAAATCTAATAAAAATCACTAGTAAATGTAAAAAAAAAACAACGGAATTTATATCAAGAAGTAACAGTAACATTAACAGAAACAGTTTAATAAAGTGTAACAGTAACAGTAGTTGTAAAAAAGGTGGAAAATCTACCTCCACTAGGTGGCAAAATAGGGTGTCTGCGCATGAATATTTTTTAATGAAATTTGGCAGGAACATAGAAAATAGATTTACACAGCTGACTGGAAAATTTTAAATTTGTAGCAACATGCCTTCAATATCAATGCACTTCCAGAACACGAACAAAATTTTAAAGAGCAATAAAATCACTGAAAAACTTAATACTTTTGGAAAAAAAACATAATTTATACAACATAAAACATTCTACTTTTCAAAAAAAGTCTAAGCTGATATAAAATTCTAAAAAAAAAGACTAATAAATACATCCTTACCACACCGACTTCGAGCACGCTGTGAAAAAAACGGTCACAGTTTTTTACTTATAAATCGGTGCCGTAAATAGCCAGATACGCACGTACCTAGAAGATACTCCATTTTTATTTAAAATACTTAAAAATTCATTGACGGTCTTCCTTGTGCATCTATTGCGTGTAGCCCATGCAGTAGATCTCTAGATAGCACATCAGATTCATCATTCGAACTTATTTCGACATTTTTCATTGCTTGATGGAACTCTACCAAGCAATGACGCGTTTCTATTCACATCTTCATTACATGCAGACATATCTGATGCATAATGATAGATAATATTATCATTATTATCATCGCCTGTAAAATGCAATTCGTTGTTTTCAT